ACGCCTTGGCTGCTCTTGTTTAAGGTACTAAGAAAAATTTAAATTTTATTCTCTTATTATTTCATTACTATCTTAATAAAAAATATCTTTGGTATCAAAATACTTGATTGAAGGTAACTTTTTAATACTAGAGTCTGTTCATCTTTACTTTTTTGATATGAACTGTTAAAACTTCAGCATAAAGTATGTTTGTGATAAACTATGATTTTAATGTTAATTTTGTTTATTTGTGAATTAATTTTTTTTACTGTCTTTACTGTTGTATGCAATTCTCTCTGTTCTAACATCTCATTTTAAACATGTCTTTGTTTTCATGAGATAAAAAGGAAGTAAAGTGATGTTCTTAGCACAATTTTTCCATATTAGTAGTACAAAAGTAATCAATGTTTCACCAAGATTGTTTTCCAAACCATGATTTTTTATTAATGCATCAAAACTGTATTATAGTGAAATTTTAAAGCTAAAATTCTCTCTGCACTAATGTCTAATTTTAAATTTGTCATTGTTTATATAAGATACAAAGGAAGTGTTAGTGATGTACTTAACACAATTTTTCGATAATAGTGATACGATAGTAATCATTGTTTCACCATATTGTGAGTTTTTACTAATACATTAAAACTGTATTACAGGGAAATTTTATAGCTTAAATTCTTTCTGCGCTAACATCTCATTTTAAATTTTTCATTGTTTTAATAAGAATAAAAATAAGTGTTAGTGATGTTCTTAACACAGTATTCCATAGTAGTGGTACAAAAGTAATCATTGTTTCACCAAGATTGTTCACCATACTATGATTTTTTTACTAATGCATTACAGTGAAATTTTATAGCTTAAATTCTTTCTGCATTAATGTCTCATTTTAAATTTGTCATTGTTTTTATAAGATGAAAAGGAAATATAATGGTGTTCATAGCACAATTTTTCTATAGTTGTACTACAAAAGTATTCATTCTTTCACCAAGATTGTTCACGATATTATGAATTTTATTAACTCATTAAATTAATAACTATTTTTGTACGACAAAAATGAAGTGTCCAAGATGTTTTTAGCAAAATTTTTTGTGTATGTCGTTAATAATTTTTCACGGTGGGCAGTACAGTAACCACTAGACCAGTGGTTAGCTTATATTGAATGTTTCCAACTTAATAATGATTTACATTTTGAGATTTCATATTGTGTTTTCGTTTACCGTATTTTTTTAATATTATAGTTTTAATTTTCCTTTCAGGCATACTGTAATGAGTGCAGGTGAATTTTTGACAGTGGATATGTGGGATATACTCTGTTTGCATTTGAAGCGAGCTTGCAAGGTCAGCCTACACAGTGTTAAGCAACTGATGGTTTGTTTTCATGTTGATTCAGATAATTTTTACGGTGATGTCGGGGAAGTGAAAGTGGCTGCTCGAAAAGATTGTAGTTTGCAAGAATGTGAACGACTGAGACAACTGTCACACCAGGTATAGTTTTCTCAGTTGTTCCTTACAATTAGAAAAGTTACAAAAATATTGTTTTCAAAAGTTTTTTATATTTCAAATATTATTTTCTTTTAAATTCTAAAGTTTACATTCTAAATGAGTTTGTTAGGACTGGGTGAGAAATCGATGCATCGGAAAATATCGATTCTATGCAATCATCGCAGATCTGCTGTTTGGAACGGCAATTTTTTGAAGCATATGAAATTGTGATTAACTGCGATGTATACGATATTTCCTGATGTATCGTTGACATCGATATCTACGCCCGTGATCTTGAGAAGTGTTAGCGATAGTATCTCAATGTCTTCTAGCTCGCACGTAAAGCATTTTCCTCCGTAAGTGTGCAGTGATAGCTGCGGCGATACTCGTCATCTTTCCCGATCTTTTTTTTTTATCGTGACTCATCATTTTGCTGACATGATGAATCCGAATGTGACTGAGAATCGAAGTGTTTGTGAATCTCTTAGTTATGGAAGGGTTTTCTTTTAATTATGTGTTTGCAAATCCTGTTGATTTTTTTTTTACAATCACTCCTGCCGTTTAATGATTTTTAACTGCTATTTTGTAGATATCCACGTCTTTAAATATTGAGAAATGATTAGAAACATCGCGATGCATCAATATATTGCAATGTTAGTGTGACGATACATCGCTATGCTAAAATCTTAACATCTCCCAGTCCTAGTGTTTGTAATGTATTATATTATTTGTTTTTTTTTTAAAAAAGCTTACATACTCATATTCACTCTCTGTGTGGGTGATGGCTAAATTTGAACTCAATGGCTTTTAGTTTTGTCACTATTCTTCTTGCTGAAGCCAAAAATTATCAAAAATTTTAAAAATGCATTTTAAAGATAAAATTATTAACAGCTTTTTTAGTATATTTTAAAATAACTAAATAATTTTATTAATTTAAGTAATTCACATACTAATTTTTATATAATAATATTCATACTCCCTATTAGTTTTCTTAATAATTTATTCATCAAAATTAATAAATTTGATTTCTGTTTAAGTTTGTTTTAAGATGCAAAAGATTGTGCAATCATGTTGTTTATGCTTTATTTGTATTGCATTTATTCAAATTTTGAATGCTTAAGAAAAAAATTTATTTCTATGTGTTTAGAAATCTTTTTAATAAGGTGTTTCAATCATTAATTTTAATATGACATCAGCAGAGTTTATATTCTTACATAATAATTAAATTCAAATGGCCTACTGCTTAAGTGGAATCCTTTGAAATTAAAGTTTATTAAAAATTTGTGTTAAATTACAAAGTTTTTTTTTCTGAATATTTGCAAAAGAATTTTTTTTAAAAATCAGTTTAGTATTGTTTTTTTGATGATTGTAACTAAAAAGATAAAAAATCATCATCATGCATTCCCTAGAAATTTAATAAAAAGTTTCCATTTAAAACAAAGTAGCTAGAAATGTATGAAATTTTTTGCAACAAAATTTGCCTTTATTGTACTTAAGTAATTCAAATTATATTATATTTTTTTAAATTTAACATTTGTATTTTTTAAAAATAGTTTGTTATATGTATACTGTTTCAAAAAATGTCTTGATTTTTTTTTCTTGGCCAACTATGAGGTTTGTTCTTGCAATGAATATAAAATTCAAACAATATATCTTGTAAGGTTGTGTTGAATAATTGTTTTATTTTTTATTCATGATATGAAGTGTAATTTATAATCAATAGATGCAACCAGACACAATTAGAGTTATCAAATTAAACCGAATACGATATCCTGGGCTCTAATTTGTGTCTCACAAAGATACATTAACCCTCAGTAAGCCAGATGAAATTAAAAACTGGAAATACCTCCACTCAGATGGTTTATTGACATTGAAAAGTGATTTTAAGTCATTGAAAGTAACTAAGTGTAAAAAAAACAAGCATCTAACATAATCTGTTGGAAGAAATTCATTGAGGTTTCTCTTGGTTGCTGTGGGCTATAGTGGAAAGAAGAAGGTAAAAATAAAATATATTTAAAAATTTTATTATTAGCTTTTTCTTGTTTACTATCTAATATCTTATATATTTGCTATTTTATTTACATCTATATTTATTATAGATAAATTTAGAAGAATCTGAGGTGTTTTCTGCTTTTTTCAGGTGTTTCTTCTTGAGTGTCAACAGAGTAGTGTAATTGTGAAACCCCACTGTGCTGCAGATGATGATCGGTCTTATACCTTTTTACTTTTTCCTCCTGGTTACACTCAAAATGATCCTGACTCTGCTGTGATAAGGTATATCAGCTCATGTTGTGAAAAAATTGAGAATACCTTTTTTTTTTCTCTACAATAAAATTTTCCAGGAACGAAAAACATATAATTCCTTAAATATTGATGGTGAAGAGAACTGGTTGATTAGACAATTGTTAACACGAAATCGCCCCTACAGTTTACTCACAAATATTTAGAAACTAATGTGTTGTATTGAGACCGGGAGAGCCTGGTTGGCAGGACGCAGGATTCACGCTCGTGAAAATGGGAGTTGGAATCCAGCCTGCCAAAGACTCCTTGTGT